TTCCTGATCTAGGAATTCCATAAAATAAAACGTAAAATAGAAAAAAAATTAACAATGAGAATCCAAATAGATGAAAAAGAATGCATGATTTAACATTGGCTTAATATATCGGTGAAATAATCGCTCGGCTACAGATACATGATATTTGAGGGAGCAAAAAAAAGCAAGAACACTTTTTAAACCATAATGTAAAAAAATTCTAGAAACCGTAATCTCGATCGATAAACGAAACAAAGCAATCTGTACAGAAAAAAATTCTTTTACGCTTTTAGGGCGGAGAGGCTACGGCGTCTCCGACGGAAGGAAAAGACGTGATGAGAAAAAGCGTGAGAACAATCTGTGGCAAGATACGACACGTATATCAGCACGCTCGCACGCTGTATCGGTCGACCTTTCTTCGATGGACATCGAGCTAATTTAAGAGCTGCATGATTTTAATCATCTGATAAAGCGCGAGGAGGGACGCGCTCGAGCGATTAACGTGCGGCGGATTTATGTATGTGCCCGGCTATCCCAATCGCGTCTCAAAGGTCGTCGCGACGACATGTCGAGGCGCGATAGCGAACGCGGGCGAATTACGTTTCTAACGAGATTGTACGATTTGGCAACAATGAGCAATCATGGATATAACATATGCGATAAGCGGACGAATCTTCGTCTTCCGATCTCGAAGCGCTCGAGGCATGACCCGGCGATTTCTTGCTTCTTTCCGTTTCGTTTAGCTGTTCGTTGGCTCGCTTCGAGATTCGCGAGAAACGTTCGCTCAGTTTTCTTTCGTTCGTTCCACGTCGTCCTGATCGTCGTCGTCTTCGTCGTCATCTAGGCTCGTGCTGCCGGGACGGGGGTTCTTATCGGGGAAACGACGTCACAAGGGGGGTGGAATGGAGAATTCCCTCCGCACGTAGAACAGAATGTAAGGCTTACATTTAGCGACAGCGTCGGTAGTCGCCGGCCGTACTGAGCTGTCGTTAAAATGGAACCACTGGCCGTCATGCACGGCGAAGGCAGTGTAATGTCCAGTACCAGCACTGAAATACATGATTTCACAATGTAAATACAATTTTGCATCGAGTCCTTTTCGGAAAAATAATAACAAACACCTTATTTCCTAAAGCTATATGCATATTTCTGTGAAATTAAGGTTAAATTTCAAGCGTATATATTTAAAGACTGAAATTAGGGCTGTTACTTTTGACAACTTCGAAGATTCGAAACTTCAAAGTTAACTTCGAACCTTCGAAACTTCGAAATTCGAATATCGAAGCCTTCGAAGCAAATCACCAGCCCTAATTGGAATGTTTAATTAAATGCGAAAATTGAGAAAATAGCATATAAGTTCAAATACGCAATAGCTGGAACTTTTTATTCGTTTTCGAAATTATAAGAATGTGGTTGCAAGCATTACAGTGTATAATTTAACGATTGCTAAATACATTCGTGAGAAATGGTAGAAGTAATATTTCAAAATATGGACGATAGGAGAGACAATGCTATGTTATCTTATCGTGTGTATCGACGTTGCGCGATAGTTACTACTATTACAGGGAAAGTTTCAATATGTCTTCATCGTCGGGCAACCGGTTTAATTAGTAGCGTTATTCAAGGGAACGTACCCAGAACCATGGTGCACGATAACGGCAGCCAAGTCGTAAAGATGACTATTCTGAGCGCCCAATCTCGTCCCGGTCACGCCGCGCACGGTGAACGCGGACATGTCGAGAGACTCCATCGGGAAATCCACCTGCGTGTCCACCTTCGAGCGATAGGAATTGCACCACCTAAATCTTTTAATGTGAAGGCACAACACCTGTGGAAAAAGCAAGAGCAACGTGTCAGCATCGATCACCGCGTTCTACGTTCCCCTTTGCTTCTCTGCTCGATCAAAGTTCTCTTTTCGGGTCACGTTCGTTCGTGCGAACTACATCGATCGGAACACGCACGTCCACGAATAAACTAACGTTAAGCGAAATTAGAGCGACGGCGAAAAAAGTCGATGTACGTTAGAGAAGAGAGGTAGAGATCCAAAATAGATTTTAAAAATTAGAGACTTTAACTTCTTTCGGAAAAACAGTGAAGGCTTAAAACTTTCTTGCATTGACACTTCTTGAAAATGAAATCCCAAATTGAGTCTTTTTTTTATTCTGTACGTTAGAGAAGAGAGGTAGAAATGCAAAATAGATTTAAAATGTTAGAGACTTTAACTTCTTTCGGAAAAACAGCGAAAGCTTAGAATTTTCTTGCATTAAAAATTATTCCATTGAATGTGGATTGTCTCGACAAAACACGCAAAACGATACTCACGTTAGGCAGCCTGTGTATCCAGAACCTCTTGGTAGACCTCTGCTTCCCCATGCAGTTATCGCAAAAGTAGAGCTCGCTGTCGGCCAGCTCTTCGACCTTGAAGAATCTCGTCAGACTATAAGTCAAACTGCACACCTCCTCCTGCTCCTTCGTCCTGCTCCTCTGCAGTCTGTCCGGTATGTCCAGCGAGAGGTCCTGGAAGGGCTCGTGCGTCTTCGAGTCCGTACGACAGTTCATACAGTGGACCTGCGCGAGGAAACGCGATCCATAATTCGTCCGCGCTTCTCCCAAGAAGAAAAACGAAGAAGAACGTGACTTTGGCAAGCGACACCAGTCTTTCTCGAGAGCGCAGAAATTCCCTCCCGCCAAAGAGGCTGCGAGGACGTTCTTTTCGCGCGCAATCGAGGCACGCTGTCCGGGAAGGGCCCGGCCGTTCAACTTACCACGCTAAGAAGAGTGCCTCCAAACACGGCAGTGACGATACTCTGCTTGCCGCGCAAACCTAGAGGCTCGTGTCCCAGCCTGGGCAGCAGCTGCAGCAGCTCGGTGTGCAGTCGGTCGAGCATGTAGGTGAGAAATTCGTGGGCGTCCTGCTGCTGGTAGCCCCGAAATCTCGGCACGACCTTCCAGATGGCCAGAAACAGGCACTCGGGCGATATCGCCTGGCCGTTGGAACCGCCTAAGCTTAGACCGAGCAGCACTTTTCGCAGCTCCTCGGCGAGCAGAGCGTCACTCATGGACATCTCTTTCGCGCGACCCGGCGTCACGATGCGACCGCGGTGAGTGGGCGGCCCCGTGGACTCGTCAAAGGCGATGCCCTCGAGACACGGCATCTGCGTGAGGTACTCGCAGAAGTGGCTGATGTTGTTGAACGACTGCAGCACCACGTTCATGAAGCAGGTGTTACCGAGGTTCCTCAGCCCGACGACCTTTTTCTCTTTGGTACTCTTGGAGCTGCGACGCTTGGCCGGCCGATTGTCCGCGCTGCTGGCGTCCAGCGAGTGTAGCCTCTTGCGCGCCGTTCTCGGCCGTAAGTTCCTCACGACCACCTCCGCCTTCCACAGGGCGTCTGGGTCGTCGTTGTCGTGATCGTCGCCGCCGCCGTCGCGCGTCCTCGAGGACGGCGGCGTCGTGGGCGGCGACGTGCTCCAGCTCTCATCGTTCTCCTTGTGCTCGTCTTTACGAAAGGTGACGCGCCGTATCTTCTCGATCTGACCGCTCGTGGTGTCGTTCACCACGTACTCGTCGCAGGTATAACTGGAAGAAGCGAGTCATGCACTTTTTTCCAATAGGAACCAACAATAACGTATGTGTCCCGGTATCGCGGCACGAGAAAAAATAAAACTTCATATTTTGATTCGACAGCAAATTTATCGGTTTCCGTAGATAGATATCTATAAATCTCGCGATAATCTGCGCGACGCGAGCGGCGAGACACACAGATTTCCACGTGTCTCGTCGTGTCAGAAATTCAGTTCTCCGAAATTATACTAGTTTCGACGGAGGAGAGACTCGCAAAGCGTGGACAGACGGTAGTATATATACGAAAACGGTGAAAGCGAAGGGATGCGGAGGAGACTCACCAGAATACTGCTAGGCTCTCACAGTCTATGCACACACAGTGCTGAGTATTTGTCTCGTAATGCTGCAACGCGTGGCCCGCCACGTATCGTCCGCAGTGCACGGACCCGCAGTGCAGACAGAGCCAGGGACTCTTCTCGGTGCCGCATACTACGCATGATAATAATACGAGACATGAATGACAATCGCTAAACAAGTTCAATCAATGCTATATGATAATTAATGAAATAGAGAAATCGGCACGCGTGGAGATTAAATATGTGATGGTTCAATTGAAATAAAGTTTCGCAAATATGTAAAAACATAATCAAATCTGAACCAATTATTAGGTTGACGATATCTCTATTGTCATCGATTTCTTGCATCAAACTAAATAAATTAAAACTTCGTTCATGCAATCCCAAAAGGCATTTGTTCCTAAGTATCACATACTTTCGCAAATATAAATGGATATTGATGGAAGTTGTTGTAGACTAAAGAATGTTTTGATGGGGATACAAGTAGAAATTCAGGTTTAGTCAGTTTACTTCATTCATTCATTTAATATTAACGTATTTATGCGCGTTACTTAATATTCTAATATATTTCACGAAGAATTATAGCATGCAGAGATATGAACAGTGACTGTCGTCTGCTGTGTTTCTATTATCAGCAGTATCACTTTAGCTTCATATCACATGGTTAACGTGAAATGTGACCATCTTATTCTTATCACAATTACAACGAATTCAATCTTCTTACAGATAAAGCTCGATATATGAAAGATAACTAGATTTAGTGCTAAATAAGTATATCTGCAAAATTGCCCGTTTTCAGAATTTTAATATAATTAATAGAGTTCTTATTCTTCTGCGAATGCCTCTTACGTTTCAAAAAGACTTTTGCTAATTGAAAAAAGTAAGAATCTAAAGATATAAGATGCTAATATTTAGACAATTGATCATAACTTTTTACCAGTAAGGAAACCAATCGTACTCTTATTTTTTTAGATAAAATTCTTACCGCCCTGAGCAGAATTTTTAAGAAAATGTGAAATTTCTTTAAAAAAGCATGCATGGAGATTTAGAAATTTTTTATCCACTAAAGAAAAAACCACCGAATTTTTCCCGATATTTTCTAATTGCTTTAAGTTAACAAATTCAAAACGATTTTTCAAGAAACTATCTGGAACTCTAAAGAATCATAAGACATCCATAAAAAAATCTGTTACTCTTGGCAACGTGGAAAATTTCAATTTCAATACTAACAGCTAGTTCCATAATTTTTTTTTTTTTTTCTATCGCCTTAAATATTAATACAAAAACTCTTCAAAACTGTAGAATTCTAGATAATTTTTGGAAGGAAAAAAACGCCTAAACTCTATCAACTATATCGAAATTCTGTCAATATGGAGTGTTAACTTTACAAGGTACTATATATAGCGCTATGCAGCGATGCATACGTAAGTTTTAGCCGCGATAAGCTTTCAGTGCGTTGTATATTTTCTTAAATAATTGTCAACAATATAGCTTTATCGACAACCATCCAGTCGCAGGGTGTAATGTATCTGGTGGTTACGAAATTACGAGTCAGCACCGCGGCACCGCCGCGCTGTGTCGTTTCGGTTCGTCTCAGCTTACGTAATTCTCGAGAGAACGCGTAAAAGAGGGGTGCGGTAACGAGCACAGGTTCGACACACCCCTTTCGCAGCCGATCGATCGTAAAATGTCTCAGAATTTCATCGAACTTCGGATTTCCGGTGATTCGTGCTTTTCTTTAATCAGCGAATCTAGAAAACATGAATTCGCACTCTCCCAGACATCAAGAGAGAAGGAGTGAAATCTCAAGTCATTGAATTTTATAGCCATGCAAGCAAGACTTGATGTAATAACAAAGATATATATATATATATATATATATAATGATTGCTATACCTCTTAAATATTCCGCAAAAGTGCGTATTAAAATGAATAAAAAACCAATTTATATATCTTTTTATATTTTCTGAATAAGAATACAATTCCCGATATAAACCACAAGAGGCAAGCGATTGCAAAATTATAAAATGACGAGCGCTCAGAACCGGATGGTTCTGGAATTCACTGATTCAGGACATCGGAAGGCGGCAAATCCGTCAGCGCTTTTTACTTATGCAACGCATATGCAGACGGATTCAAATTCGCATTCAGGCTTGCCGTAATCTATCTTCGAATTTTTTCCAAAACGGTTGCGTCATTCTTTGGTATTCGCAAATAACGTCATTTTTATACAACGGGGAAAAAAAAGGAGACATTCCCCTAGAATGGAATTTAAAAAGCGCGAACGTGCGAAAAGTGAAACGCCGAAAGTCCGTGCAGGGAAATTCGATCTTCGAAGGTCATTCCTATCGTGTTCGTTTTCGGTGCCGATGTAGGAAGCCTTAAAAACATACCGGAGTGCTCTATCGGCACGTTTTAATCAGCGACTCGTTGCTATGAGAATCTGGCGAAGAATAGGAACAAGTGAAACCGAGTAAGTTCGGTCCGCGATAAAATCTTACTTGGAATGACAAGTTTTCCTTAAAGATTGCTAAAGTAAAAATGTATAACAATGAAGTATTTTTTATATAATTATTTGAAGTATTTTTTATAATTCTCTTAGAATTGTCGAAAGCAAACAAAAAGTAGATTCCTAAGCAGACAATATAGCACGGACAAGCTGTTTAACATTGTAAATAGAAATTATATTAATGCAATAGATTGATAGCGTAAATATCGCCAAATCAATAATCTTATTGTTCATATTAAATTGCGCAGTGCAATGATACATATTAATTTTAAATTAATTTTCTCTATATACATGTATATTATACTTATAGACCATAATGGATGCATAAATAAGAATATACAATCTGAAAAGAATCTATAATTTCGCCGATTAAAGTTAATTAACCGAACAGAGGATACGAATTACATTTATATCGTCTGATCGAAATTACAACTCCAACAATATCAGCATATGGATAAAGAAGGAATGTTGTTTAGCACGTTATTATTGCTGATGTCTGCCAGAAAATAAATCGCTGTCGTTGGAACGACGTGGACGGCATGGAACGATATGGCGGTGCAGCTGCGAATGTTCAATATGTCATCGCGATAACGAACAACGTAACGAGGAACGTTATCGGTCGAAAAATGCATAAACTTTTACAACATACGCGACGTCATTTGTACAGCACATTCGTTCATTCATTCAACGTCCGCTTGTTCAATAAAATGATCTAGTAGATCCTCGCGCACGCGGATGTTCCTCGTGGATCGTCAGAGTAACTATTATTGCGAGCGATGTAACGATGACGAACAAGAGGGAAGTGATTAAATAACAAAATCTTATTACTCATTTAAGTGTGAACGGATCTTGTTTCTTCATCATTTTGCACGTTGAAAGTCGAGTACAAAGCTACTTAAAGTCTCGCATGTTAAAAAGTAGCAACGAATATTGTACGATGAAGTTTAAAGTACTTTTTGAAAAAAGAAATCAATATGGAAAATCTTCAAAATTTTGAGAAAAATCATATAAGAGCATCTTGTAATGTATAATAATTAAAGTTAAATAAAAATTTTGCTTTTAAGCTGCTTGAAAATCATTTCATCGTCCGTAGGCATAGAGAAGAACATGAAAATGTACTGGTAACACGCAAGGATTGTGCTCGCGTTGTAAACACAAAATTCACGGGTTTTCAATCACAAATCACGCGATGATCCTCAAGAGAAACAGTGACACAGTCGATGATTAAACTCCGAGAATTATTTTTGGGAATTGCGTCAGCGAGCGTGGAGACGCACGAGCGTCAGCGGTGAACCAGAAATCGAAAGTGTCGATCGCGGTAGAATCGTGAAATAACGTCAAAGTACGAGAAGGAGGAAGTACCTTATACTCGAAGGGCCAACTATGCTAGATAGCTTTCTTCCCCTTTGTCTCACCATATAACGTTCGATCCCATCACGTCTACGCCGATGACATCGTCGTTGTTGTCACCCGAAAGTCGATGTCATCGACGCATCGCCCCCGCATCGACGACCGAGTGAACGAGATATTGCAAGACGATTGAAAGAGTGTCGAAGAGAAATTCACCGATAGAAGAATGCGCGACAATTGTTCGGTCAAGCATCGATATGTTGAGTTGACTTCGGAAATATGTACATAACTGCAATTGTAGCTTCCAAAAGTAACCGAATTATTATCTTGTATTATCTTACATTTTAATTCAATTCGGTATATATGTATAATTATAATCTTTAGTAAAATAAGTAATTGGACGAATGCTCCATATACATTATACAACATATAGTATTATGTCAAATGTTACATTAATTATAAAAAAAACTATTCGCGATTCAAATTAAGTATTACGAAAGTGACACATATCTTTCATTTGCTCCAAATATTTTGCAGCTATATACAGAACACATTTTAATATTTATAAAATATCTTATTACATTTCTGTATCATTTAGCTTAAAAGAACTGTCAAAACTTTTTCGTGCATCCGTGTGTCGTTCAGCCTAGCAAGCTCACGAACATCTCACTAACGTCCGCAATGGGAAAGACAAGCTGTCTGCGCCGAAAAGGGTGCTCGATATCGCAAAGTATCTATACGTCAAGAGAAACGGTATCGAAGTACAAGCGTCTTCGCTCTCACAGCGAGAGCTATCTGATCAGCAACGACGCGATTATCGATTTTGCAATGTTATGCAGTCGAAGGTAGGCGGCCTGCACCAGTAACCAGCAGCAGCAGCAGCAGCAGCCGCAGCAGCATGGGAAAAGCGACGGCGGTAGAGGGGCGGCGGCGCGGACGAGGGTCCTTTTATAGTGCGTAAGGGGCGATACTTCTTTTTCCTCTCTTTCTCTCCTTCCCCTTCTCCCGTGCTCTCAGCCGGCGTGGAAAACACGCGGCGACCACCACCGCAGCGGCGCGATTCCACAGAGGCATTTAAATCGATCCACCGCCGGATACGTCGCGATTCGCCGAGCGTGAACCGCTCTCTCGCCCGGTTTCTCGCGGCGCTAATCGCGACGCCGACGCCGCGCCGCGTCGCGTCCTCGCGAGTGCAGAGTGGAGAGATAAATATGACAGGAAAAATTTCTCAGAACGAGTCTCGACGCTCTCGACTTCGAAGTATTTATTTGCGTAATATTGATGCCACGTTGATTGTTGAGAAAATGGTATACCGTGCGATAAAGTAGTCATGGAATTTAATTGGGAGCACAGTCGGAAGCAATGCACTTAAGTATCATTATCGCTAGAAGGCACGGGAGGGAATCGTAAAATTGAAAATTAATTAGAAATAAGAATTTCAGACAGTCTATTCTTTCGGCAATTAGAAATAAAAATTAAAAATGATTATTCGCCAATTGAAAAATTTGTAATTTCGATGATCGTAAGTGGTAAAGTTTACGCTTTGATCAATGATATTTTAGAATTAATACTGTCAACCAAAAAATGTTGATACTAATGCGTGTCGATGACCATCTTTGGCAGCTGGCCGTGAAGACAGAACTGGCCGAAAGTACTACGAATCCGGTGGCTATCGCCGATAGCACCATGTTGAGTAATCAAACGTCGTCGAGGAGGAAAGTGTGCGTTCGTTCGTCAGTCGGAATACTGACTCATCGCCAGTGTCGTATCTATCATCTTCCGCACGATGTATTATTCACGGATGTGTCGCTCTTTGTAAACCTATCGTATGTGCATTTCTATTTTGTATACCTATCTTACCATAGTCGAACATATTGGACTACCTTTTAAGCTATTTTCTATAAATTCGTCGTCAGATTTATGCCAAGCTTCATCAGAAGAGACATAGACAATTATATTCTTATTTACCCAATAAACACAATAATAGACAAATGTTTTCTTTCGCTCATTGTCAGTCAATAGAAAGAAAATAGCATCAATGTGAGAAGCAACAAATATAACAGAATGCCTCGAATAAAATTGATAGTGCAACTGGACATTTGGGCCACGATCTATTTTCTTCTTCTCCTATTAATTAATAGATAACGTCATTCTCGTTTAAAGTAAGATAAGCCTCGGATTCGCTATTATCACCGACTTACAGTTGCATGATCCTGTGAAATCAACCCGTGCTCTTTTCACGTTTATCTCGAATAATAATGGCATCCTTTCCCTCTTTTCCTCCCAACAATTTATCTATCTTAATATTATATATTTTTCCCTGCTTTCTAGTCCAGTCTCTTCTAATCGTATTTTTTCCTTGTTCTTAAAGCGATTACAGTCCGCGAAAGCGATAGATAATCGCAGGAAAATATTTGCGACTTGTAGATATGCAAAGCGCACTTCTGCAAACACGGATAAAACGGAGAATACTATTGATTTACTGCGCACTCGTTGAAAAACTCGAAGTTCAGGTCAGCGGAAATACCAGAAACTTAATTTAGAGTGCTTGATCGCACTTACATCGGTACACGTTTGCATCAATACTATTTTTCTTTACGCATACAATTTAATATTAAAGAGATTCAACGACAAACTTGATTTAGAAATCGCAAGGTTAATTTTTAAAACACCTGACGGCGAAAACGCGACGATTTGTGACGGCCTCCCTAACGTCATCGAACTCTCCACAAAGCTATTGTTCTATCTGTTCGTTCTCCCTTCGTTGCCCACGCCCGAAATTAACGGCAGCCTGTTCCTCTCGTGCTGACTGTTACGTTTCCTACCGACGTGTCTCCCCACCATCCGTGTCGCGGCGAGAAGAAAGACGCACCGCGACTCCGGACTCCGGCCTCTGGCCCGTAACGAGCGGCTGGCTCGGAAATCGCAGTCGATTCTACCAACGTCGTTCAAGCCGCGAGAAATGTACGAAATTGGTAGCAGAAGCGAGTTGCTCGTTTCTATCTGTCGTTCTATTTCCGTCAAAAAAGGAACGGCTCGGCGAGAATCGGTCGTGAGAGATGATCTTTACCGATGCAATTATTGTATCATATGCCACTAATCGAGAATTTGTAATCACGTTGGAAAGAACAATGCGACGAATGAATCTAGTAGATAAGTAGATTAGAAAACAAGTTTTCATCCTTTCTGTCTACAACTGTACATGTGTTGCTCCGTTATCTTTTGTCGAACAGATATCGCTTCTGTATTTGACGGCTTATTAATAAGCACTCGCTCTCGGAGGAGGAGCGAGCATTCTCACAATCGAGCTTTGATTGCTCCGAGACACGCCGTGCAATCACCGTTGTTTTTCGAGCAAATAGCCTGTCATTAGCGGTTATTCGTAACCGCAATTAACCAAATATTCTTTCTCCGCCCAACCAGGATTTCCTAAGATAGGAGTAGAGAACGGGAGTATATATTTCACTGCTGTTAAGCCGAGAGCGGACATCGCGAGCCTAGAAACTGACGGTGGCATCGATTTACATGAAATATTGACAGCATCGCGAAGAGACGATAATCGCCGAACGGAATTAGCTTATCCGGGCGGAGTCACGGGCCGTACTCTTTGCGACTTCAATTGCGCCGATTTATGGGGGGGGGGGCAGAGGGTTTCGGGACAAAAGATGGTGGGACAGACGGCGTGAACGCGCAAGGGGAGAAAAAACACATACGTTTCGGATAAATATAGTCCCGAGGTCGCGTAAAGAGAAAGGAAGGAGCACGCCGCACGAAGCACGGAGAGGATAGCAGCACCAGGATTCGGGGAAGAGCCTCCTCTCCCGTCGGTCGTGGCCGTCGTAGGATTTCACGGCCTCCGAGGACACGGCACGCTTGCTTGCTCCTCTCGAGCGATCGTCGTCCCCCCTCCCCCCCTCTCTTGTCTATTACTCCGGCCCCCGGTCGTGTCGTGCATTGTCTCTCGTAAACGCCGCCACTTTAACACAACTCGTGCAGCGGCCGGCGATAATACTTACTCCGCTGCTCCGAGTTCTGTGTTCTGTGTAATCTGTAAACGACCGTTTGCAGACGATACCGCGGGTTAATGCGTTTTCGGCTCGGCCACGAACCGTTCCCTACCACAACTAATACGCGCCCGACGCGTAATGACGGCTTAATGACGCCTCCATTTTCTTCCGTGCTCCAGAAGAGTTTCTACGAAGGTGAGGTCGGCGTGGAGAGCCTCGCTTTAACTTTAAACAGTTAATATTTACGGCAACGATCCCGGCGCGGCGTCCCTGTAGTATATCTGCCCCCTCCCTCTCCCCCTGTAACGACCGCTGTCCGTGTATCTTTAAATCGATAGCTCGGAGCTGGCCACGACCAATGTCACTGTCTGACTCGGCGAAGCCGAAGGTCCTATAATATATCCGCGCTCCGCACGGACGACACGTCGCCGTCGGGGTCCCCTTCTTTCTCTACGCTTGCAGAATCGACGTCGATTGCGACCCATCAGAAATTTCCGCACGGACGATTCCACGATATTCCCGTATTATTTTTTTTTCTCCCTTTCTTTCTTTTACGCCGCTCCTTCTCCCTTTCGTCTCTCCGACGTGGGACTGCCGCGACGAGACGAGACGAGCCGTCGTCGGGTCGCGGGAATCGGCGGTCGGCGACGGCGTCGGCGAACCTTAGCCGGCGAGTTCTAATGACGGTGGATCTTAGGGCCAGCTGATTAGTGCCGTCTGGTATTGATTTTCCGATGACGGCCGCGCGGCGCATACTGAGAACTCCCAGCAGGACGACGATGCACACGCGCACACCACCATCGCCGCCGTCGCCGCCACCTCCACCACCTCCACCATCACCAACACCACCACCGTCATCACTAACCACGCCGCCGTCGCGCTCTCGCGCGCGTAACGAGTCATGGGACCACGAACACGCCGCGCGAGAGCGAGCGAGCGCACACCGACGCACACCTACAGACTCATATGTTATACCACTCGTTCGCTCGCGTCTCACGCGTGCAAATCGTTCGGAGCGAGAGCGCGCGCGAGAGAGAGGGAGAGAAAGAGAGAGAGAGAAAGAGAGCGTGGGTATATACGTATGCGCGCATACACAGCCGGGCGACGAGTTCGATCCGCTGTATACTTTGCTCGTTCGTTGCTTCGTGCGTCAAACGGGGAGAATCCGAGACGGCCGACGATAAGCGGCCGTCGGCGAAAACGCACACGGAGCGCCGACGGCGCGGCGCGGCGCGGCGTCTCGGCGCTTTTCCCGAGGGAAACAGCGGCGGATCCGCTCCGTCTCGTCTCGGCTACGACGGCTCAAGGCCGCGAGAGGAACGGCCGGGGCCTGGGTCACGAGAGAGACGGAACGCAGAGGCGAGGAGCCACACGAGAGAGCGCGCGGCCAGAGACGGAGAAAGGGACGGAGAGAGAAAGAGAGAGCCGCTGCATGCGAACGTGCGTCGCTTGTGTGCGTGCGCGTGTCGTGCGGATTCGCGAGAGGAAGAGGAGTAAAACGGAGCGGCGGGAGACAGGGTCGAGCCGAGGAAAGAAAGGGGAAGGAGATGCAATAGCGAGGAGAGACCTGGGTTTCCGAGAGACGAGCCGGCTCCCCTATCCGTCTATCCGTCCATCTCTATCGCTCTAACGCTCTCTCTTTCTCTCTGCGTCTCGCTCGAGCTGGCTCGGAATCGGTAGAAGGCACTCTCGGGGCTTTGTACGAGTCCCTACCTGCGCAGACGAACGGCAGATCCTTCACAGCACAGCCCGATCCATCTACGTTGTCATCGCCAAATCGCACGCTCTGAGCAAGGTGCGGACACTCCATGTTTTCTCCAGGCACGCTTTTCCACGAGGCCCGCGTGGCCACCTCGTCGTTGTCGTTCCCGTCGCCGTCGTCGTTGTCGTCGTTACGAACGTTCGCGAGGCAGTCCGTCTTTCTCTTTTTCCACAACGGGGCGGTGGACGGGGATCGGCTAGGGGGAAAGGGCAGGGAGAGAGAGGAGACGGACGAGGAGGAGGAGGAGGAGGGAGGCGGGGGGAGGGTAGGTCTCGGCGAAGGGCGAGGGGGTATGCCGACGGGACGGAGAGTCCGGGTAGGGAAGTGGTGCGTGGTAGAGGCAGGCGGGGTACACGCTGCGGTGGCCCCGTGATATCCCGTCACATAGCGCGGTGGTAGCGAGGACACTGTTACGTCGCCTTTAATGAGCAGAGGCAACGAAAAAAAAAAAAAAAACAGACAAGAATTTACGAGAACGGAGAGAGACGCGCGTGACGACGACGACGACCGTCGCTCCCGTTGCGCAGCGTACGACTTACTGAGAGGCGGCGCGCAACGACGAGAGCGAGCGGAGAGCAGCGGAGACGGGCGGACGAGCGAGCGAGCGTGCGAGCCGCGCGAGCGAGCGAGGAAGCGAACGGAGCGAGCAAACGAGTGCGAGACTGCGAGAGGAGAGAACGGCGGTGCGGCCGACTGGCCCCGACTGCCGACCGAGCGCGACCGAGCTGCGTAGAGCTCGGTTCTGCCGGTGGTCGGCCCACCTCCAGAGTCACAGACCACTAATAGTCGACTGACTGAACCGACTCTCGCCCGCTCTCGACTGCCCGCGCGCGGGCTCTCTGCTCTCCTCTCTCGTCCCCCGAGCGGGCCCGCCGCCCGCGAAGCGCGCCCCGACCCCCGACGTTCTCGCCGCCGCGGCCGTTCCTAGCGCTCTCTCTTTCCCACGGCCGGGCCGTCGCACCCTTTCTTCCGCTATCTCCTTCGCTGACTTCGCTCTCCGTCCGTCTCTCTCGCTCCTCCTCGCCTCGCCGACGAGGTTGCGCTAGGTCTCCTAGCCTTGGATCGCGCTAGGACTACCTAGAGGGTCGCGCGCAGCCTCGGCGCCCGATCGCCGACCATCAGGGCTGGACTCTCGTCGAGGGCGCGAACGCGAATTTCTGCCGCGAATGCGAATTTATTGAGCGTCGCCGAATTTATACCGCCGCTGGCCTCCCCCAGCTAATTCGAATCGATCCCGTAAAATCGTGCTGCGCACGAGACGAGCTGCACGCGCGGTTTTACGGAGTCTTGCCGCGTCGCCTTTCGATCGAGGTAGATATTTTGCGTATCATGCGAATCACACGACGGACGCGCTGCTCCGGCTGAACGCGACGCGCGATAAAAGCGGAGTATCTCTTTCCCGTGACGTTTCGCCGTTTGGCCGAGAACTCGATTTCGCGCTAACCCCGGAGATGCATCGTCCCCCTCCCCCCCGCGTAGAGCGCATTGTTAGAGAACCAGATCACCGGGAGAATAATCCCCGCGTCATGACGAGGCCTCGCTTGGGTGCCGAGAAACGTTCGAGCTGCACCTGGCCTGACCGATGCAACGCGTCAGGGATGTAGTCGTAGCCCTCCTATCCCGCTCCTCGGTGCGGCCTCGCCGCTCGCGTACGACGTCGTGAGATATCGCGAGCCGGCGGAACCAGTTCTCCAAAACGGTGACGCTATACCCAACGGCTTAAGCGCGATTGAAACACGAGTAGACACTGCGTCGCGGGGGGCCGCGTCTCGCGTGACAACGCGAGCGTAACAAAAACCGACACTCGACTCGGACAGATTGACGTGAGGCGACCGACGACGATGGCGATGATCCTGACATTGGCGCACATGTGCCGCAATGAGATTGTCCGTACGCCTTGAGTGTGTGTGCGCGCGGAGATCTACGGATTGTAGGATCGACGAGGAGAGGGGGATCTACACGGGTGACGATTATGCCTCACATGGCGATCGCGGCGGACGAAAACAGGCCTTTTCGCTTGAAACGTATTTAGGCGCACGGCGTGAGTCGGACGATCATCGCACGCGTTTCTAGTGCGATTAAAATGGCGGATTGAGCGCACGCGCGCCGTTGACGGAGGTTTTTTTTCCCCTCGATACATCCGTAAATCGTATCATTTATCTTTCTTCGGTATTCGGTGTATCATCGAGGTATCATTCGATCAATACAATTTTTTTTTTCAAAGTAAAACTATATCTAATTTTGAATAAACTTCGTTTTAAATATTTGGAGCGCGAACGGCTAAGATTATCAATTAAACAACATTGGGTTTCGTTAACGATCAAGGTTTACGCAAAAAAAAAAAAGCCAGATACTCTGACACGGTCAATAAGTAGCACGCGTATCGTGAGTGTTAGTTCGCAATTTTATTTGAAAAGTGCAAGACCAACCATTTTTCTTAGTATTGTGAATGAGAAGGGAGCGATATTTAAGAACGTCTGCTAAACTGTGGAACGGGCTGGGTGAGTTGGAGTCCAGTGATGTTGTTGAACTCGAGCATCTTCAACATCTCCTTGGTCTCGGGATCGACCTCGATGATGTCGTGCTCCAAAGCGGAGACCTCAGGAACATAGTTGTCACGGCGTTCCCTCTCTTCCTCCTGCAGCTTGATGGAGATACCGCGTACCTGACTGTGCCTAAGCCTCTTCATCAGGTGAGTAACAAATCTAATGGTGATTAAAATACAATTGTTACAATCGTGTCGTTTCTAAAAATCCACACAAGTAGCAAAGATATAAATTCATAGAAGCATTCAACACGATAAACGTTACAAATAAATCCACTAGAATTGTAATGACTGTATTACTATAATAAAAAATTACAACTATTCGATCATAATCGAAGAATTATTGTGCTACACTTAGAGGTCTATTCTGTAAATGTTAACATCATTACAGGCTTTGCGTAAATATAATATACCATAGAAAAGCTGCGCAAAGTCGTAACGATATTGTTAACATTTGCAGAATGGGGGCCTTAATCTATTGTTAAATCTGAACATGACTATTTCCATCTCTTTTTATAAAAAGTAATAAAGTAATAAATATAACGAACTTCATTGTTGGTTGGTTGACAAAATAAAATGAGCTTTGAGAAATTGACATTTCTTAAACATTGCTACGCACTTACCCAGCGATCTTGTTGCGCAAGGATTTGCTGGGGATAATAGCGATTTCCTCGCATATCCTCTTGTTCGTATGGAAATCCAAAGTGAGACGTGGGTAGTACTTCTCGATAATGAGCTTCGCGGCCTTCTTGACCGTCTTCGTCCTGACGCGACTCTGCAAATCGTGGAAAGGCAAAATAAATCAACAATACGACGTAGCGCGATACATTCATTTCATATTTGCACAAATTGTTGTGGATCGCACTGCCAAAACTCGAACCATAACCTAAGCCTAAGGTGGCAAGGTGTCGCGCGTTATCACTACTCGGCTTCTGGCCGATTAATATTTGCACTACCGGGTCAAATAATGAATGCACGAAACGAGTACGCGTGAATCGCTGGCGATTTCTCGCGGATCGCTACGAATTTTCGCGGATTAAAATTAAAACGGATGACACAATACGAACCATGTTGGCTTGGATACCGCCGATACCGGAAAAGGCATGAAACGAAACGAAACGAAAGAAAGGCAGGCAGGACTCCGACTCAGGAGAATCGATGGCGCCTGAGGCGCCTCCCGCGATGCTGTCGACGACAGGCGGAGAAATTTTGAACAAACTCGTGCAAACGTTGCAGCCAACTGCCAAGGTAAAAAGCAGTCAAGAATAACCTAAGATTACGAATGGTAATGAAGGAAATACAGTTACGGGAAATATTCTCGCGTAATTCTTATGTATGTCCACAAAAATCGAAACAATTAAATAAACTGCAAAGCAAATAATAATTACTGGATGATAAAACGTTCTTAATTATCTGTACTACTTAATTTGTATTACATATATTTCGTTAAAATTTATATCATTTTCGAATGTATTTTAATTATTTTAATATTAAAAACGGACATTTTGTGTATTAAATAAATTATTAAATAAATTGATTTAATATTTCGGTTATTTCCGATATTTACATTCTAATTTTGTTTCTACTGTAAAGAAAATTAGCCGCATAGATTCTTATATAATTCACTGTTTAACCCTTTTTTAGATTTGCGGAAACTCGCATTGCGGAATTTCGTTTCTGCGCGAGGTAATAAGTACGTTCGTTTAAAAAATTGCATTTTTCAAGCTTCTTCCCTTTCCTTCGAACGTTAAGTACGCACGAATTGTATATTAAATGTAGGAAACGCGACTCAAACGTACGAACCTATATAATTACCGCGACGTGATTCGCTCGCCGCTTCAACATTTCGAGAATGGCAATACTGCTTTTGAAGTCGCCCTAGTCGTAGTCGTACGCGGAATCGCGCCGTGATAAAGAAACCCGAGAACGTAGTTTCCGGAACTATTATCGTTTAATTAAGTCTCGCGCACGCGGAAACATCGCGAGTGGCTTGCGAAACGTGCCGGATTAAATATCGTCATCGTCGCGTTAGATACCGCGTTAGATATCGCGTATACGACGCTATTATCGCGATTTCAGTAACGGCGATCCGCTTCTAATGGCGACCGAGATTCTCCCGTTACTTTCCGCAATGAAATATATGAAAAGCGCAACACGATCGTCGCCAGGTACGTTTATACACGCGCCATTGTAATTAGTCGCATCGCGCGATTAGTCTTCTCGTATAATTTATTATTTAAACCCTTTTCATCATCTGCAGAATTATTTCGTTTATTTCGCGCGAGGTAATAACTACGCTCGTCTAATTGCATCTTTCAAGCTTCTCGCTTTCCTTCGAGCGTTAAATACGCATTCATTCAATTAATTAATTGTATATTAAATGCAGGAAACGCGACTCAAACGAACGAATCTAATTACCGCGACGTGATTCGCTCGCGCTCGCTTTCAACGTTTCGCGAGTGGCAGTACTGCTAGATTTTGAATCGCGGACATCGCGGTCAATTGCGGTGCCGCGTCGCGACGGAGTGGTCGCTTTCGGGAGTCGTCTCGTAACTTTACAGGATTTTCGCCGTTCAACGCAATCTCACGCGCGCGGAAATATCGCGATTGTGTTTCAGAAAGGGTGCATGGACGTCCGTTAGTAACGTTGAGTATCGCGCGTGCAATCGCGTAATTCGTGTATCGTCGTTGTCGCGCTTTGCCTCATTGCGATTTCGGTGCCGGTGTTTCGTCTCTAGAAATGGCGCCGATCCGAAATCCTCGCGACTCGGCGTTACCTCGCCGAGAATCGAGAGCGCGAACGACGCAAGACTTTCGTCAGGTATATTTATACTGCTTTATATCACACACGCTGTTTCTACATTTATTTCGTAAATTGCTACGGGCTATCGAATACCTCGTGATTATAATAATTAGTATTAAATTTAATTTCGTATTTCAGGTACGGTTGAAACTTGCCTCGATAATGTGTGTCCAGTTCTCCGCGCCGTTACAGTATTATCGACGAGCGATATTATCTAACGGCATTTGAGTTTCGAACCAACGCAATAAATGGTAGGTGAAATTCGCTTTATCATCTGAAGGGAATTTAGATTCCTCGATACCGCATTAAAAAATATTACTGCACGAATCCAGTTGTCGCATTATAAGATTTGTAATTATAATTGAAACTAAAGTTGCGAAGATTTTTAAACTTTCTACATTAATTCTGAATAAAATTTCATCGATTAAGATACAACATTTTTCGAACATAGAGAAATATTTTAAATATTGATTTTCGATTTAATGGAAAAGAGATTTATTTTTTACCAAGAGATTTAGTGCAAAATTAATTTGGGAAATACTGCATATATCAGTTTAAAGCACGACATCCGACATCTAACGGCATAATTGGAAAACGATCAAACTCGAGCTAGACTTGACGGGTAAAATATCAAACGTTCGATCACTCTCCGACCGACTCGTTGCTTGTGCTGTATTGTGAAAGATGTCGCCAACGGGAGCGCGTACTCCGGAGTCCGGAGTCCGAACCGCGGTGTGCGAAGCCCGGAGTATATCGTCTCGAAAAATCGCTCTGTATTCTACCGCGCACGTTGAACGCGTTCCTTCAGCCAGACGAACTACGAAAAATGATACGTGTTCATCAATAACGCGCGAGCGCGCTATTCCCCAGGATCTCGAGAAGCGATCCAAAACAATTCCCCGAATTCGGTAATAACCCCGAGATTCTCCGAAATCGGCGTTGAACGTTGAACGTAGATGGGTCGAGGGACGGCGGAGCGGCGCGGGTGGTTGGCGGTGTTTGTCGCGAGCGGCGACAAAGCGTGGAAGGGGGAGAGACTGCGCGCGCCGCGCCTCGGCGTGACGAGCGGACCGTCGGAGTGGGGGAACGGGCGCGAGGCGCGAGAGCAGCCGGGGAGGGAGCGAGAGGCACCCTGGCGGCTGGCGCGCGAGTGAGACGGCGATCGCGCGCGTAGTCGTGTCGCGGGCGGAGTGAGAGGTGGGCGGCGGAGTTTGTTTATCGCCTTGGTGAACGGCGAGGCTGGCGAGTGGCGAGAGCAGTCAGTGCGCGGTGCTACGTTCGGTGTGCTACATCCAGTGGCGGCGGTACGGGACGCGCTCGCGATCGGGTGACTGTTTGTCCGGGCAGGAAATTTGGCCGCGTCTTTCTCTCTTTCTGTCTCTCTCTCTTTCCCCGTCTCTCTTTTCCTTCTCTCGTTCGGGCGAGTCATTGCGCGAGTGCCGATTACTCCGGTTCCTCTCATCCGTTTTTCGCGCGACGGCAATCCGGGAAGTGCGACCGTCTCGTCGACGTCAAGGGAAAGCCCCGCCGTGTGCCGTGCCGGAAGAACATGCCGCCGCGGTCCATCGCCGTGAGGTAATAGGGCGCCCGCGACTTCTCGCGCGTCGATCCGGTGGTGCGACGACAGTCTCCCGGCAGCGAACTCGTTCTACCCTCTCCCGCTTCACTCCGGGAAACCTGTCATCGATTACGTTGAGGAGGCGAACGTTCGTCACGTCGGGTAAGTTCTCTCGGCAGTGTTTCTCCGCGTGTGCGCGAATACTGATGGTGAATCGCGGCGGTGCACAACCGGGTCACCGGACGTCACCTTTGACGCGACGTTAGCCGCCTCGCTGCGCCTCGCCGTCGCCGTCGCCGTCGCCGCGAGCGAGCGACGATAATCCGTTCCCGTCACTCGCAGCGCTTCACTCCGTGCTCCGGTTCTCTCTCTCCGTCTCTCCCGTTCCGCGTTGGAATATCATTAATATCATTGACGTTATTGAGTTAGGCGCTTGAAAGCGCCCGCCATGTGCTCGAGCCGGACACTCGACTCCAATTCCAAGGCCAATTTCCGTTCATCGCGTGTGCGTGTTTCTAACCTTACTTGACGGAAAAGCTCCACTCGTGATTTTTATTTGCTCCCCAAGAAACGCTTCGCGATCCTAGTGACACATCACATTAACGTCATGCTGACCAAATTTCGTAATTTTTCGATGCCCTTTTGACTGCGATATGTTCGTTGGGTACAGTTTCTTATACTTTCCGGGAAATATTATTTAAAATATTATTAGTATAATATTTTTTACTTCAAGTTTCCGACGTATATTTCGCCGTGTTTTAATCGTGAGAAGCGTGGAAATAGCGCGGCGACGCGCGACGGATAGATTTCTCGTGGCATCCGCGCGCGACTGTTACTCTTATTACGTTATATTACGGTCTGTCAACGTTCCATCGTCCCCGGCGGCCTTCGTTTCCGTCAGCTGACGTGCAGCGTGCCCCCAGCCAGTCCGTCAACGACTTTCTCCTCCATGCACGCGCGTTCGTCCTTCGCCGGATTTCTTGCCGCGCGAGAGTGTCGTGCCGCAAGACTCGCCAGCCAAGTCTCGAAGCGAGCGAGCGTATATTTAAAACTTGCCGTACGCGCACGTTTATTCGAAATTTCTCCGCCGAAAGGTCGCGGGTCGTGTAGTACGTTCTCCACCTCCCTCGCTTTCGTTGAAAATCGAGGTCGGCCTTGACCGCCGCCGAGCCCGCCGACCGAATCGCGCTTTTTAAGAACACGATGGAATTTTGACTGTCAATACCATCGCGGAATCTTGAGCTCGTACCATACTACATTTACGTGAGCGTTACTTCTGTAATAACTTACGATAATTTACTCCGCGTAAACGAGTGAATTATCGTAAGTTTTACTACAGAAGATGCTCGCGTAAAAACGTAATATCGGTAATATATTGTGTGAAACGTCTTTCTGATTCTAAATTGATCTTTTTTACAGGAAGCATATTTCTGTATTACTTGACATTTATATATTTGTACGTATTTTATATATACGTAAAAAGTTTTATATATTTTAAATATATTTTACATATTTTTGTATGACTTGCCATTTACCTATGTAAAATCTTACTTTCGATATATATCTTCTTTGCTTTACTGTGACAATTATCTTATAAATTCAGATTTATTTCTGTACTGTTAATTGGCTTTTTTTCATCTTACGATGTAAGTCTGAATTAATTTTCTTACTTTTCGTGTGTTTGTGATGAAATAAAAGAACCGAATAAGTAATATTGAATAAAAGAATTTTTGCATCGTTATTCGTATGTCATTTATGGATAGTTTTACTTAATTTCTAAATTAACGTTCGTACCTCTCGCGCGTTTAAGATGCATGATAAATGGAAGAATGTCTGCATATTACTATAATATTCGTGTCGTTTTATGTAAAATTTTACTTTCAAGTATCTCTCTTTTATTTCGTCATGATAATTATTTTATAATACTGAATTTATTGCTACGTTTATTAGCTTTATTTATTTTATACGGTGCAAGACAAAGTTAATTTTCTTATTTTTCGCGTGTTTGTAATTAAACGAAAGAATCATTTATTATGCACTCCGCGATAGATTTTCTCGCGTGCAATCATGTACGTATAATTATATGTACATAAATTAAGATTCGACCGCGATGAGTGTAACTCCTAATGCATATATACTATAAATTGAAAGTATAACAAATACTACGCGAGGCGTTTTTTTTATACCTATATCAGTTACACAGAACCTTTAGCATACTGAATATTTTTGTTATCAAACTTGTCAAAAGACTTTTGTCAATAATTGGAAGCTTAATTTCGTTTAAGACTAATATTAATACTCATTTATTGATATATCTATATATTACCTATTACGAATACTCGTAACTTTTAAATCGTGACACAACGATTTCCACGATAAAGAAATTACATCATCCCGCTTAAACATTTCAGTTATTCCATTTCATCTTTTATGTCTTATGATAAACGCACGAGATGCCAGTATAACAATCCATCGGTGAGGTGGCGAGGAAGTCGCCCAGTTGAAAAATCGTCATCGATGCCGTATGCATGAAACGTCGCGCGCGAGAAATATCGCGCGCAACGCGAGTCGAGTCTCCGCTGTCTCTCCGCGCGACGTGTCGCGAAATATGCGGGCATTAGAGGAAGAGGAGTCGGCGGACGCGAAACGCGGCGCCCGCGCCCTTCTTTCCGCGTGTCCCTTAAGCCCGTTTCACGCGATTCGCAAGAACATTCACCGTCAGAATTCCATCATTAATTCAAGGAGCTTTATTCTAGTGAAAAAGATCCTGTCTCGCGGGACTTTGGACTTACGTTGCCAAGTGGGAAAAATGTCAATTGACGGTACAGCCAATCGATTTGAATTTGAATTGTGACTTATTAATCTGAAAATTTTATAGATTTTCCGTAACTCGTGAACTCGTTTGTCTCGTTTGTCACGTCTGTCGATCTCTCGATAGGACATAAGATCGGTTTCTAATTGTATGATCGTGAACGCGTGTTTATGTACGAAAGAGTAAAGAGAGTTACTTATAGCGTTCTGTCGTGGATATATACCGGCTGCAAATTATGAATCGTGTGAGAGCGGCCTTTCTATTTCGGTCCGCCGTCGCGCCGTAAAACCAGTCGCGCGAATGAATTTGCAGCACCGCTTTAATTCCGTCTTCTTAATTCGCGCGCGCACGCCACGTACAACACGAGCCACGTTAACGTAACATCCCCGTCGTAACGTCGCTCGTAATACTGCGTAATTACGGCGCGGAGAGTAGAGTACGCTCTCGCGATCCAACTCCTCGGTGATGTACACTCCGTCCCTGCCATCTTGACGCAACCAGGTCGCCACTCCCTTTTCGCCTCTATCTTTTTTCCACCCTTTTTATCCGTATACTAGAAGGACTGATAACTTCGCGGGGAAATTGCGCGCGTGGGTGTCGCGTACGGTACACACTTCCGCGTTTAATGCAATAGTTGAATAAGCCGAATAAGCGCGAGAAAGTTCTCCATTTACACCCTTCAATATTTTATAAAATAGAAACTCGAGGTCTCTTTCGCTATATAAGATTTTATTGCCATGATTAAAATATCCGCAAGAAAGAAATACAGGTGACTCTCGAATAACACACACGGCACTTGAATTGCACGGAGTTTCGAATAGCATGATAAAAATATGTGACAACCCTAATTTTTAAAAGTTTTTTTTTAGTAATCCTTTAGT